ATGCGTTTCTTTTTTGGGAGAGTATATATCAGGACGAATATCATTTTCGTCATTGAGCTAAGATTTGTCATTTCTTTCTTGGGTTATCGCGCTAACAATCTTTATATTGGCAAAACCCTCAGATTTTTGCTGTGACCTTGAAAATTATCTCAAGGTCACTCCATTTCACTTGTGTCGGTGAATCTCGCCAATATACCAAATTTGAACAAAATCCATCATTTCTTTCTTGAGTTATCGCCCTAACAAGCTTATTTGATGTATGAAATGTTATTACGATTTACGTAAATAGTTATTACATTTTACCGCAACGAAAATTATTACAATTTACGTCAATTTTTATTACAATTTACGTTTTTATTACAATTTACGTCAAGTTTATTACAATTTGCGTTTTTATTAGAATTACGTCGTAACAGGTACATTTTTTAGTAAATTCTACGCACGCACCGTACAGGATTGTTGAAAAACAAAGGGTCACCTGTAAACCTACAAGATGTGTAACAGGAACACTCCTGGCTAATCAACATGACTCATAGATGAGGTTTATTTTTCTTTTTGTCAAGAAAACAAGTTAATTTCTTAAAAAGAAAACAAAGAGCATAATTTGTCAAATAATCTTCTATGATAAAAGTTGATAATTCTGAGTTTAAATGGAAAAAGAAAATCATTAGCAGTCACAGAGAGAAAAAAGAATTTATCAATAATATTGCTGATTATTAATGACAAGCAAAAGTCACATCATGAGTAAAAATAACCTTTTCAATAAAGTGTCTGAACAGAAATTTTAAGAACTTATTTCCGATTCATTTTGAAAATAATATGAAAGCAGTGTTATGTCAAATAATGCTAAGTCACCAAGTGAGAGCATGCCCAGAAGTGGATGAGGTGCAATATATATATTCACATTGTTATTATTGCCTAATAACATTTCAGAAGTTTCCTTTAAGGTTATTAGACTAATAATGATTTGTTTTTCATTAATGATCAACACTATTATCAATAAATACTTTGTATCTCTTAGTCTCTCCTAATGCGTATGTTTGTCATAAACTATCAGAATTAATTGGGACATTTAAAAAACATTTTTTTATGGTAGACATGTGGAGGACACTTCGAAATTTGATGCATCAGTGACACAAGTGATGTCCAATGCAATTTCCTATTTTTACTTGTACCATACGTTCCCGAATTATTTCACGCAGAGACCATATACCGTATATACGTATATACGGTATATGGTCTCTGTTTCAGGTGAACCATTGACTAGGCAATTGCATATGTTTATGACGGGTGCCACCGATGGGGCAGGATACGCTCTTCTTTTCGCGAACACCTGGTATCATCACTATTTCATAGGGATTCATTAACACATACTCATCGTATCGCATGGTGACAATCACTGGATTGTCTGGTTCAGACTCGATTTGTTTACAAACAACATTGTACAGCTGTAATACTGCTAAAACAAATACATCTACTATCCCAAAAAAGAACGCATAGCAATTTTGTATTTTTATAAATCTATTTTTTATCCATTGTGTTCAAACAATCGTCAAAATATGTAACAAAAGTGTTGATAACATGATTTTACACAATTGCACAAGTAAAAAATCGACTTGACCTGAAAATGTTGATTTTGATGAGATTTCTTACAAGGATTAAAAAGGCATCGCCACAACTCAATAGAAATCACCTTCCAGTTGAAATTGTGCATCAAAGAGCATGCACTGTCTGGCCATAAAAATCCAGATTACTTTCGGAAATCGGCATTTGTTTTGAAGGAGTTTCAAGGTCAAATCACTACGCCATGTCTTGACGCTGCGACATGGAACATCGCCGGTGAAAGAATGCACGCTGGAGATTATCAATCTTCTGTTGCCAGGCGTCTGAATGTTAGTCCGAGCACGATATCACGGCTTGCAGCTCGTTACAACCAAACAGGTATAACAAATGACCGTCCCCGTACAGTTAGACCTCGAGTCACCACTGCAGCCCAAGATCGGTACATCCGGGTACTACATTTGCGTGTTCGTACTGCCACGGGTGAGAGCATAGCAGCCAGGGTGCCTGGACTTCGGAGGATATCCGGTCAAACGGTATGGAACAGGCTGAGAGAGATTGGATTGAGAGGCAGGAGACCCGACGTCGGGATCGTGCTACGTCGTCGTGCTCAACGTCTCCGTTAACTAAAATTATCCACTTGGTTGTACAGACATTACCTTCTTCTAAACTGATGTAAAAAGTCTTGTACTAAACTCTATTTGTGGACGAGTTATACATGTTTGAAAATGCAATATTTTCGCAACAGATTTCTGGGTTATGCATTTCTTTTTTGGGAATAGTATATATGCTCATGTAACCATTGCATAATCGACTATGCTTTTAGCAGAGATTGCGAATGTGGAAAGGGTTTTGTCGCTTCTATTATGTTGATAGGCCAGGTATGTCTGGCTATATTGTGAAAACATAGTTCATTCAATCTGCACGTTTTAAGGTTGCCCTCGTCTTTCGACAATCAGTATGTGTCTAACTGGTGAATGAGGTCTATCGCCTCCGTGGTGTAGTGGTTAGAGCGTCCGCCCGGATAGCGGAAGGTCGCGGGTTCGATCCCCGACAGCATCATACCAAAAGACGTGAAAATATGTTACTTGTTGATCCCTGCCTGGCGCTCGGCATTAATTGGTACAACAAGGACTGGTCGGCTCGGGGTCAGTATAATGTGTCTGAGTAGGGTATTCATGCTTCACTGCAGCATGGTATCTCATTGGGCTAGCACTAAAAAAAACAGCTTAAGTCTAGGGTAGTAAAAGCAGCCGCACATACACATACACACGCATGCACCTCGTCATATGAGCGAAATATTCTCAAGCACGACGTTAAACCCAATTTCACCTCACCTCACATATCCGCAAAATGACCCCTATTTATAGTCGAATCTGACTACTAAAAATAGATTATGATGCCACTGTTGCTAAGGTGTGTGTGCGAAAAACATTCCAACATAAAATCGGTCGCACAGGTGTTGAAATAGGTCAAGGTTAAGTGAGGTCAATATCCCTTGCTGGAACATCCTACGATATCAAACTCAAGGTTAAGTTTAGATTAGGTCAAGGTTAAGTGAGGTCAGCTAGGACTGAAGGACCGTGAGAACATCCCTTGCCGGAACATCCCACGGTACCAAACTCGGTCGAGCAGGTGTTGAATTAGGTCAAACGTCCACGAGACAAGTGCAGTCAGGCAAATGTAGGTCAAGGCCGGCGTCCCTGTGACGTCATGATTTTGCCGTCAAGTAGCCTTCTTACTACTTCCGGGAATTCGATCTGCACACACCCGAACGACTATTGACACACTTCAGCTCTGATATAGGGTGTGCTCGTATGAAACACATATTCCACGTCATACTCACATGGTGATGAATAGGGCAGTGGGATAGCCCAGTGGCCCTCAAGCAAATGTAGGCAAAGGTTAGAGTCCACAGCGTCACAGGGGTCCCTGTGGTCCCGGAGATGCGTAAGTACCTGGCCATCCCAGTAGACCGGCCCTTGTAACAGCGCTTCTAATACGGCCTATAGCTAGTAGAGCAATGATTCGTTTCGGAAATATAGATATCTCATAATCATGAAGCTACAAAATAAAAGGTACAATCCAATTGCAGCCTAATTTCAGAACTGATGTAGTCTCGACTTGCCAAATCATTTAAGACTTATCTTGAATTAGTTTTGTAACTTAGTATCTATGATCCATGAGACAGACTAACAGCCTTGTCCTCCGAGTCTCCAAAGCCGTTTTGTACGTTATTTTCAGTTATTGTATATCATATGAAGTTTTAAATTTAGATAATTCTGTAATAGTCTTTAGATTAATGTATGATGTTGTCTTTTGTTTACGATGAGTCTATTTTTAGACGTTAACTGTGAAGGGAACGTATGAGGACATAACAACACTTTACAAGGTAGAGCATACAGGTTGGATATGTTGTTTTCACATCAGTTAATATTAATTAACACGCCCATGCCCAGCCATAGGCCACAACCATTCAGATATTGATAGGAATGTAAGTGATTATCACAGCTGTAAAGTACCAGGCGCTAAAACCTAGTGTGGAAATGAACCATGAAGAATCAATATTCTTCCATGAAAGTAACCTAACGTAACTTAACAATTCAATCTAAACTATAACGCTCTCAACATATACAAAGGTGGTATTGATGTACATCTAAAAATCAATATATGTATTGTCAGTTTTCCCCCTAGCAAATCAATTAAATACACGCCGGACGGGAAACACTATTGAAGCCAAGAAAAGGGAAAGCTGTGGCTTGAAATTAGGTTCATAAACTCACACGATTGAATTCTGTTGCTGTGCATCATTCATGAAATCCAGAGTATCTGATTTCTATTAGCATGCATGAATGCAAGATTTGTGGTCCTGTTCCACAAAACGACGTTACAGCTACGATATACAACATACGACTTGGTCCATGTTAAAATATGGGTTACGATGGATTTGTGGACCCGGCCAAATGCTTCAACCTGCATTTCCACCATGAACTTCATTATCTCGAATCATAACATGTTATCCGGCTCAATATTTCTGCATTGATGTTTTAAACTCTTGTTAAGATCACTAGAGATGTGCCGAACTGTAGGTTTCTTCAATCACGAAAAGTGGCGAACTGTTGGCCCCTTTCATATGTCTCAGTACTATTCCTCAGCTGCCTGCTATAGGACCTATAACGGGATATACATATCGTACAGTACACAAACATAATTTCCTATCAAGTTATATTGACAGTACGAGCAGTCTGGTCTCCTACTGGGAGATAGGAATACTTCAACATAACGCTTCCCAACAATCGATCGAAGCACCCAGATCCTATAATTGTGTAACTGTTCGTTCTGTATCGCGTGGCGAGGATCGACCCACAAGGTCTGTACACGGTCAAAGGCATCTTCTGTCGTCCTGGTGAAACTTCATCAACAAGGGCCAGTTCAAAGTCTATAAACCGCGGAGCCGTAGAGTCCTAGTTTTTAACAAACGTTTCATTATACATACGTCATTTATTTCTAGGTACGTTCTGTGATCTTGATAAGTTTCGTCATTTTTACGATGCTAGGAATGAAACGATACGAGCGCTCTGGAGGAAACGGCGCCTATCGGATTGGGTCACGTGCGTGGTGAACAGCTAGCCCTGGCAACAGACATTTCTCCCTGTCTGCTGCAGGCGTGACAACTCGCCATGCTGTGGAAGAGTATAGGCATCCTCTTCGTTGTCCTTGCCGTTTACATTCTCCTGTCAGCGACTGTGTTCCATTTTCTGGAACAGCCACATGAAATCCTTGTCAAGAATCTCACACGGGATTTTCACATGGAGTTCCTTCGTAAGTAATGATACTGTCAATATTGAATTGCTTCAGACTTTGAACTTACTGACGGGGAGGTGAATATGGGGTTGAAAGTCGCGCTACAGAATTTGGCATGTAAATTGTGTGTGTGTGTGTGTGTGTGTGTGTGTGTGTGTCTCTTCTCTCTCTCTCTCTCTCTCACCGTAGCTTTTAATATTCATTGTTCGCGATGCATGCAAATTGTTATCACTATGTACTAGTCCCGACTGATGTCGCTTTTATAGCGCAAGCCAAATGAAATACCATGCCGAAGTGTGATCCAGGGCTGACTATTCTGTTGTATTCCCTATACGCCAGACACAGTATACTGATTCAGGGCTGACTAATCTCTGTTGCATTCCCTACACCAGGCTGGGTGACAACAATTACCATTTGTAACATCTTCTGGTATGACGCGGGTTTGGATCGAACCAGCGACCTATCAACTACACTATGGTTCCGATCATAGTGTTTATTTTATTTGTTTGTTTGTTGTTTAACGCTGCACTCAGTAATATTCCATCTATATGGCAGGGGTCTGTAAATAATCGAGTCTGGACCAGACAATCCAGTGACCAACAGCATGAGCATCGATCTACGCAAATGGGATACGATGACATGTGTCAACCAAGCCGATCACAGTGAGAAGGGCGAGGTTGCAATGGAGTGGAAAATAATTTCGTACTTCGTTTCGTATCACTATAGCTCATTATAAGTTTTAGATATTTGCTAATTACTATGAATTCAGTAGGATATGTGCTTTACTGAAGTGTCGAGTTGCATTTTATTACTACACATGTCCATACCATACCATTGTCGTCATGATGTATTTACATAATTTATTTTAAGTTGTTGGATACCTAAGGTTAACACGTTCTCTTGTCAGTGCGTTTTCATCTTCAAGCACAAAATAGCAAATCGATAACTACCCTCCGTCTCGTGGCAAACATACAGTTGAGGAATCGTAACAATAGGATCGTATTTTGTTTCAGTAATAAAACTTACACTCTGTTGACACCATGTAACTCGACCCAAAATTTAAATTTTCATGTGAGGTAATTAGCGAAGTGGTGTTGGGAATGAAGTGTCGTGAAGTATTCCCTCTTTTCTATTGTATTAAGTGAGGGAGAATCGGCACTTGGCTCTCTGGCAATGTTGATTGATCTCATCGGTGCCATGTTGCTTCAGACTATTCAGCCATAAAACATGAACGTCCACGAGAACCATCATGTCATCTGAGGATGTACGCAACGTTAATGTAGATTACACAGAGCCTGCAATAGCACGTGGTGCACTCCACTTCAAAGGGAAAACACAATGGCTTAAAGTGACGGGAGGCAAAAAAACAACACGCACGCACGCACGCATGCGCACACATCACCTTTGCTTGATAAACACATACTTGAAGAAAAAATAGACTTGAATATTGATGAACTCGCATATGAATTCAACCCCCCTGAAACACTGCTAAGTAACATCAACTTAACACTATTGACAAAACCGACTGGCTTATGTAAACATCATAATGTATTCATGTGCAAATGGCCCCGTGGGGAATGACAAGAAAATTGGTAAAAACACATGCAAAAATGGTAGTGTGTTTCCTTATGTTGAACATGTATATCCATGGTCAAGTCATCCCTAGTTTTAAAGTTTTCATGTTTTTCTTCTGATACTCATTCTCGAGTTATGTTTTCAGTGTGTTCATTGAAATATAGCGGTGATCAGTCGTCTAATGCTAAAGTCATGACCCACGACAATGAAATACTTGGGCCTGAGAAATTTAACAGTTATTTAAAAAAATGTTTTTTCCCCAAAAACATTGAAAAGTTCGCTAGATAGAATATACAACCATATCATGCAAACGAAAGGTGGTATATTGCAAGGTGACCTAGTAACGAGTATGAACACTACAGACAACGACAGTGCGCATGTGCTGACAGTGAACGCGAGCTACATTTGGCGTAACGAGTGCACGACCAAGAAACGCTTGAGGAGTCATAAACAAAATTTGGTTTTGACCACAGTGTAAACAAAAGCGCAGGAGTTTTATAAAAGTAACTTTCCCTACTAGTCTATAGCTGTTATATGATAACAAGCTTGAAAAGTGTAACTATGTTTATGTTCCCGAAGGGAGATGGTAACATAAACAAACGTAGAGGGTACATCAACCCATGGACCCCGAGGGACCAGTGAACAACGCATTTATCTTACCGAACACCTCAATGTTAATTTTGAACTGTTTGAAGCACGGGTATCGGATCATAATAAGGAGTACCAGAGTTAGGCAATTAGCCAATACCGACAACGCCAGACAAGAAAATATATATTTGGAGTTATCTCCCTTCCATCGATTTGCATTTGCAAAACATTGGTAATTTCCATACATTATACGTGACTCAATTATTCGAGATAAAGAATTATTACTAACACGAAGTACCGCATGAATTCCCACAGTTCGGCATTATCAGCGGGTAACATAGAACATGTTACTCGCTTGTAAGCGGGGTACACTGAAAATACTAAAAAGAGCGCTCAGCCAATCAGAAAACGACATTTATGTGTGAGGTAAGGTAAAATTATTTAGCAACCCTAATTCACTGGACGTAGCAGACGCAATGGAGTGTGTCGTTAACGGAATGAGAGCTTTTTCATAGTTGTGACAACTATTTTTTCAACACCCCTACTTTTTAATAGTAAATTATGTAAATTATAGTAAAACAGCTATTTTGAAATATGAAGCTATTTTCTCAGTACTCGATTTCGCTATTTCCAGGCCGCACCAGTGCAGGAAAATTATGATTAATGCAGGAAAATTTATTGTCAGGTTGCAGCCAGTGCAGGTACCATTTACCACGATAAGTACATGGCATCGGCTTTATAGCATTAAATATGTTTTCTCTTATTGTATCAGATGATTCAATTACCAGTACCCCCAAAATGCCTGATTTCATGCTCATAAACCAGTTACGTAGAGCTCATACTGTACACAATCTTCTGGCATTTCTGGGAAGGCCAGGGCTCACTGTGTAATAACATTACTTGTCATGGTGGACAAATTCATTTTGCTAAGCGGAAAAGAAATTAAATAAGAGTAAGTGAGTCTGGTTTTACGCCGCTTTAGCAATGTTCCAGCGATGGGACACCAGAAATTGGCCTCACCCTCGTTGGGAATCGAACGCGGGTCTTCGGCATGAGGAGCGAACGCTTTAACCACTAGGCTAGCCAATAACCTGTCAATAACTTGGCCACCTTTACAACCAATCTGAAAACGTACCTTTTCTCAAAGACATACGCCTAGACCAAGTAGCCATTGTTGATACATGTACACGCATCCCCTCAAAGCGTGTCAGAGCAGTATTATTGGCTGGATTCTCGCGCTATGTAAGTTCTTAGTTATATATATTTTATATACCCCACTGCCCCATGCCTAACATGGATGGCATAGGGAAATATGAAACGTCTGATTAACAGCATTAGGAAACACCTCGCTAATGTCATCCGTGAGATGGGAAGATACTCCAGATACTGATAACTGAATCATTTTTCACTGCATAGTGTGAGAGAGTGGAATTTGTGGCGTGGGCTGGGTGCTGATACTTTTCAGCAGTGTTGGATGAACGCTTTTAGACCTAGCGCCCACTTCGGTATTTTTTCATGGTAGTGCCAGATGCTCTCTGTGTCAGTGTAGAACACTGAACCACACCAGTCATATCATGTATCATTTATATGAAAAGTGGATGGTTCATAATTAATGTTAATGTGTGGTTATTATGGAGATTCACATTATGACATTTACACGACTCCCGTAGTAGACCACAACATTACATAGTAGACCACACGTATCAGAGCTCTCGAGTGGAGTATCGATTTTCCTGTCTCATTTAATCTCTTAAGTCATTAAGTTGTCTCCAGAGACAAAGACCCAGTTGTTCCAGCCACCAAAGTAGGTCGCTCTGATCGAGTCTGGATGATACTGAACATACTTGATTCATAAGTAATGTGTGTGACAGCTATCATGGTGCCACCTGCAGCTCGCCAGTAGGTATTTTATTGGAACAAGATAAGTCTGTATATTCCTTCTGATCTTGTGGAATTTATACCCTAAATTTCTGTAGCTTCTGTGATTAGATCTGTGATCTGTGATATAACTGTTACTGTCCCTGATTTTGATGATGGAACAATTTGATGAAAAACATTGGTCCAGGTTGGGATTCTCGCCCGCGAAGCTGTTAACGCTATTAACGAATGTAATCGTCTCTCACGGCATCTTCCTTCCCGAGACAAAGGAGATAACTGACTGTCCAGTTTCCAACCTTGCTGAACTAGGCTGCAGTTTTTTTTCCGGATCATAGCATCACCACTGGCCATTACGCATTGTATTCCTTATATGCCCCTTCAACTGACAATCAGATTCCCCCTTTCAGATTCCATCTTTTCCAGATTTTTATCGCAGTTAACCTAATCTTAGAGTGTGACGTGCATCAAGTCAATCGAGCAAATGATTAACAACATGAAGGGATTTCGAATGTCGACGCCGAACGGACAGCACACATGCTCTCCAAATCCTGCAATCGACTGAAATCTCTACGACAGTCGTCATGTTGTTTTTCAACCTGATGTCTATTTCGTGACGCGCAATTGATTGGGTTATGCATATACTCATTAGTCCAGCCGAAATATACCATCCGTCCTTGTACACACTACACTCCATACAGGAACCTTGTGTATACATGACCATAGACTACTTCTCAGCGTATTTGCAGTCACATTTACCACTCCGTTAGTCTACATTATTTAAGGAAAACAATATGTTTCTTTATGTAAGAATGGGGTCGAAAACGATTGATGAAGGACGATTGTTGGTGTATCCGTTGATTAACAGGAGTAGAAAGTGACCCCCTTGCATATTATGTACAAAATCAATTTCCCCACCCCGCCTTCCCATAACTTTTAAGCATACGTTTTTATGCACACACACAGACACACACACAGAGCCATACATTATGAACGGTTCCTCAGGAAACACCTCGCTAATGCCATCCGTGAGATGGGGAGATACTCCAGATACTGATTTCACAGTCAGTGTTCATGCCTAGGTTGACAATAATCATTTTCCCTGCGTAGTGTCACTGCCGGGTGTGTTCTGGGGGCTGGGGGCCGATACTTTTCAGCAGTGTTGGGATGCATTTTTTTAAAGACCCAACGCGACTTCGATTTATTTTTATGGTTTTACCTAGTGCCAGGCGTTTTTTTTTGTCAGTTTGGAACATCGAACCACCCCTGTCATATCATGCAGCGTGGCTGGTGCTTAATTAATGTTAATGTGTGGTTATTATGGAGATTCACAATATGACATTTACACGACTACGAGTACACACAAATGTTATTACTCTCGAGTGAAATATCGATTTTGTTCTCTCACTTCACCTCTTAAGTCATCCAACTGTCTCCAGAGACAAAGAACCAGTTGTTCAGCCACTAAAGTAGGTCGCTCTCATCGTGATACCGTATAGACTTGATTCATAACTCAGGCTGTTCTGCAGTTTTCCGTTGAACATAATGATTTTACCTCAATCTGGTACATCTACACGATAAAAATAATGATCTTACCTCATCCTGCTACGTCTGTCAGGATGAATTAAGTACATTAACTCATCCTGCTACGTCTGTCAGGATGAATTAAGTACATTAACTCATCCTGCTACGTCTGTCAGGATGAATTAAGTACATTATCTCATCTTGTACATCTATCAGGATGAATTAAGTACATTATCTCATCTTGTGCATCTATCAGGATGAATTAAGTACATTATCTCATCTTGTGCATCTATCAGGATGAATTAAGTACATTATCTCATCTTGTGCATCTATCAGGATGAATTAAGTACATTATCTCATCTTGTACATCTATCAGCATGAATTAAGTACATTATCTCATCTTGTACATCTATCAGCATGAATTAAGTACATTATCTCATCTTGTGCATCTATCAGGATGAATTAAGTACATTATCTCATCTTGTGCATCTATCAGGATGAATTAAGTACATTATCTCATCTTGTGCATCTATCAGGATGAATTAAGTACATTATCTCATCTTGTGCATCTATCAGGATGAATTAAGTACATTATCTCATCTTGTGCATCTATCAGGATGAATTAAGTACATTATCTCATCTTGTGCATCTATCAGGATGAATTAAGTACATTATCTCATCTTGTGCGTCTATCAGGATGAATTAAGTACATTATCTCATCTTGTACATCTATCAGGATGAATTAAGTACATTAACTCATCTTGTGAATCTATCAGGAAAAAATATTTTTTTCCTCAACTTGCTACATCTATCAGGTAAAAATAATTGTCTGTCCTCAACCTGAGAATGTTGAAGTCTGACTGGTTTACTGATTCCATCTTTGTCCACATACACGTACTGTAGGTAAATGTCCACTAAACTTGTACAGATTACGCAAAGCCGCTAAATCGAAGAACGTGGTGTAGCTAACATTACTCTAAAGGATTGAGGAATGATGCCAATGTTTGACTTTCAGGTAAATTTCCATGTTTACCGCAAGATGAACTGGAGGTGTTTGTACAACGAGTGTTAAAGTCGTACGATATGGGCGTGGTGGCAACAGCGACGAAGACGTCGGAAACTAACTGGGATTTTGCTAGCTCTTTTTTCTTCTCCGCGACTGTGGTTACCACTATAGGTACGTATGTTAGCTGCAGGGTCGTAGATATGTATTACCTCCCTTTTACAACCCGACATGCACTGGTCGGTATAGTGAGTGAGTTTAGTTTTACGCCGCTTTTAGCAATATTCCAGCAATATTACATTGGGGGATACCAGGAATGGGCTTCAAACATTGTGCCCATGTGGGTAATCGAACCTGGGTCTTTGACGTTACGAGCGAACGCTCTAACCACTGAGCTACCCCACCGCCCCCGGTCGGTATATATCACCTGTGAACATCCGGGTTAGAACTGGTCTTCAGCAATCCATGCTTCTCATAAAAAGTCAGTAACGGGATTTGATGGTCAGACTTGGCCGAAATATTAAATCGCGGGATAAGGATTGGACTAACATCTCTTTCCTGAAATTAACCTTCTTTCAGAGAAACATTCCTTAAATGAACATTATATCATTTTACAAACTGGAGCCAAGAAACCTTCTCTATTCCTGAAACTACAGTAACCTAGAATTCCATGGGCTTTGTTGGATATGTAAACTTTGTATATCAGGCTATGAAGGATCACACGCTCTCTGTTTCAGGCTATGGCAACATCGCCCCGAATACCTTGGCTGGAAAGATAATCTGCATATTCTGTGCCTTGTGTGGAATACCATTATGTACTGTGTTCCTGGCGGCCATTGGCCAGAAGTTGAGGTTCCCCATCACTAAGCTCCAGGAGAAGATGATCACGGGCCGATCTCACCGTGTCCTCCGATGTGTCAAAGTCTGTCTGTGTGTGGTACTGGGCTCCACCCTGCTCATCTTCCTGCCCTCTGTCATGTTCACCCTGGCCGAAGGGTGGCACTATGGGGTGTCTGTGTACTATAGTGTTGTAACCCTTACTACAATAGGGTTCGGGGACTATGTAGCAGGTAGGTAGGACTTGGTATTTATGTCTCCAACCTTGCAGTTACTCTTTCTATACTTGCATTACAGTGATGGTTATTGTGAATGTTGTTTTATGCAGAGAGGCTTGTAACAAAAATCATAAAAAAGAAAAGAAACTTCTCATTAATGTTTATATTGCTACTGCCGTGTTCTCAGCAATATATAATATAATAGGGATGTTACTGGGGTCAACACACAAAGTTCGTCTCAGGACGAATTCAATAATACCCACTGTAGATATTAATATAAACCTATATATTCATTTCACGCCAATAGATTTAGCTACTAAATGAGACATAGGTGATGTACCCTTGATGCACCCATTAATGCCTACTAAATATCGTGAGCCAAAAACACTGCTCAGAATTTTCACCGCTAACTTACCCAATTTCTTGTTTATTAGACCGCCTCCGTGGTGTAGTGGTTAGAGCGTCCGCCCGGAGAGCGGAAGGTCGCGGGTTCGATCCCCGACCGCGTCATACCAATATGGTACTTGTTGGTCCCTGCCTGGCGCTCGGCATTAATGGGTACAACAAGGACTGGTCGGCTCGGAGTCAGTATAATGTGTCTGAGTGGGGTATTCATGCTTCACTGCGGCATGGTATCTTAGTGGGCTAGCACTATAAAACCAGCTTCAGTCTGGGCTAGTACAGCCGCACATACACATACACACGCATGCACGTCGTCATATGAGCGAAATATTCTCAAGCACGACGTTAAACCCAATTTCACCTCACCATCTTGTTTATTATATCTTGTACGCAAACACCACGCACTTGTTATCGGGCTCATCGCCACTATTTCCGAGAAACAAAAAACCTGACAGCCATAATGAGTTAGTTAATCAAGATTTATACATATCATTGCCGTGGCCGTTCGCCATTGCTAAGCGAGCCGTGCATAACAAGAGCCAACAAAATGCCTTTGCCAAAATTGCCTTAAATTAATATTTTGCTAAAAGGTAGACCATGCACCCTGATTTCATAGAAAACATCTAATATTATGACAACAGTACCTAAAAACACCACTTTAATGCTAAAAGCACAATATCGTCCATGTGAAGACATAAGACAGGATCTTCCATCCTGTATACGAACATATACATGTATATGAACATTAATCACGCACCACCCACCTTTTGGTACGTGGCAAATGAAAACACTGCATGTTGTAGTGTATACTTTGAAAACCAAGTTGCGCATATCAAAATGATAAATCTGAAGTTGAAATTTGGAAACAATTTACATGCAACCTGAGAATAATCCACAGAAAAGCTTAAATACAAAATGCCGAAAGTACGATCACCATGACTATGGCACCAAGCCACAAATAAAAATTGTTGTGATTGTATAAACCACCACTGGCGACCATGTCAACACCCGGTGTTGCCGCTCCTCAAATGGATAACATCTGCCAGTCTCCTCCTCATACTGCCAATCAAGCCAATTCTCAGTAACGGAGTCCTCTGCCATTCCATAGAATGACTGCGTCAATTCCTGCAGATTTAATTTTGAACAGGAGGATCTCTAACTCGAACTTGGAGTTCAGGGTTGTGCTCTCAGATTTCCAACATCATATGTGATAATTTGTCACGTAAAATATATTTAATTCAACATTTTAAGCGCCTCTCGTAGCATATCAAATCGTTCTTCGCCTCCATTACCCCTGCCAGCTTCCGGTTCAAAATATATTGTACGTGAGTAATTATTAAATAAGGTTGGAAATCTGAGAACACAACCCTGTGAGGAAATGGGTGTCTTCCTTTGATGGTGGCGATGTTTTATTTTGATAACAAAAATATTTTTCGACCCGAAGCGAAGAAAGTACGTTGCCAACCTTTGCCCGCTTCGCCCGCATATAGATAGACTGGTCATTTTCTCTCTGTTGCGCAACCCTATTGCGCTACAGTTTGCCTGTGGGTGAGGCAGGAACACAGGACGATTGGCAAGGGGGATATTATAAAAAAAGGTGGCACGACGGCGGTATCCGGTACTTCCTGTTAATAACCACACTGTCAGGTACTGTAAGAGGTCCAAAACAGTCGATGGAACCCCATCAGTCACTGAACCATCACCACAGGGATGAGCAGCATGGACCATCTCCTGGTCATATGCCTCGTAAGGACGTCTCCATCCGCGACAACGCCTGTACATCACACAGATAGCAACTTTCCTCAGAGAAGGAGGGGTAACAATATATGGATGGCTCCCACTGTAATAAAGAAGTTGTTCATCCATATATTGTTATCCCACCATAGTGCCCAATTTCTAAATGCCTCTAAAAGAGGACTTTTATCACACCAATGAACTTCGCACCATGTTTTCTCGGAACTTGGAAACATTAATCCCTGTGACAGTCTCTGAGGAAGTGACGTTGATCGGATGTCGTTCACTCAGACCGTAGCCTGCTTCTGGTGGTACTGGTGGTTGGGCTGCCACTCTCCATTGCAGGTGCAGCTCTTTGGCAAGGATCTTAGGATTGTGTGTTGCCAGACCAATCAGGGCTCGGTCATCGCGGCCATTGGTCTTGGACGGTCTCTTACTTCACCGGTGGCCACGTGCTTTCTCACAAGTTGACTGTGGGGTTGTTGCTTTAGTTCACCGATTTTGCGACAGGAAATCCCTTCGTCATGATGCCAGTAACTTGTTACCGTGTATTCTCTGAATGTACGTTTTGCCATGTCGAGAAAGGTTCAGTGATTTCGTTTTATAAATCAGTTCAGAAAGCCGACGTGCAGATACTGCACTTATGAAATTTATACCCCAATGTGCCTGGTGCCTTCTCAACACGTGAACATGCGACCCATAGCGTGATGCACGTGCTTTACATGTGCATTCCAGTCTGTTAGGGTATAAACGTTCGTGTTGACCAAAATTATATATATTGCCCTTGGATTCAGGTGGTGTTTAGTTACTGTTCACATGTCTAGTACGAAACACACTAAAGACAAAAGAACCTTTATCATATGTTTTATGTGTCAGCATATACTTCCTATTCCGGTGGAATAATGGAGTGTACGGAGAAACTATTGTCCCAGAAAATGCTTGAAAAAAATGAATAAATTTCAAACTGTGAAAACAGAGAAACTATATACTACAAAATATGCATTGTTGCCAGTTTTTGTTAAAAAATAACATATATTTAGGATCACAGCGTTTGCTTTTGTAGCTGAAGTTAACAGAATTCTAGTCTCAATAAACAAGCTCCCCACCCCACCCCTCAAGAAATGGAACCAGAATGTATAAACCCAGATTGTGTAAACCAGAATGTGTAAACTAGAATGTGTAAACAAGAATGTGTAAACCAGATTGTGTAAACTAGAATGTGTAAACCAGAGTGTGTTAACTAGAAACTAGATTGTGTAAACCAGAATGTGTAAACTAGAATGTGTAAACCAGAATGTGTAAACCAGATTGTGTAAACTAGAATGTGTAAACCAGAGTGTGTTAACTAGATTGTGTAAACCAGATTGTGTAAACCAGAATGTGTAAACCAGAATGTGTAAACCAGAATGTGTAAACTAGAATGTGTAAACCAGAATGTGTAAACCAGATTGTTTAAACTAGAATGTGTAAACCAGAGTGTGTTAACTAGATTGTGTAAACCAGATTGTGTAAACTAGATTGTGTAAACCAGAATGTGTAAACCAGAATGTGTAAACCAGATTGTGTAAACTAGAATGTGTAAACCAGAGTGTATGCTGTTTGTTTCTGTTGCAGGTGTGCAAGCAGTTCCTTACCGCGATCTATACCGTGCCGTCAATGGCGTCTGGGTGGTTCTAGGACTTGCCTGGGTAGCGCTGATCATCAGTGAGATGACTGGAGACATCAACGACAAGATCGTCAAGAACGAAATGAGATGTTCCAAGAGTGTCAGTGAAACGGTGAAAACCCTTAGTTAGCGATTAAATCATATGTCGTCAGTGGCGTCAGCCACATCATGGCACAACGGCAGTTTGTGAATATTAAATTACGCCGTTGTCAGCAATATATAAAAGCTACATCAAGGCAGTTTTTCGACCAAAACAAGCGAATCCTCGGCAAAGATGAATGAATGAGTTCAGTTTTCCGCCGCCTTTAGCAATATTCCAGCAATATCACTCCGGAGGACACCAGAAATAGACTTCACACATTGTACCCATTATAGGGATTAGACCCCGGATTTGTTAAAACCAGTTCTGATGGAAGTTTGGGGTATCATTCATCAACAGATTCTATAGCTGCCCAGCAGGTTGTACCTAAGTAGAAGCATCGGTTACCCCGTTGTCTTATGCACTGGGCAGAGCTGGATAGTTACGTTTGACTGAACCCCGTGATCGTGGACTCGATTCACCGTTTGGCCAGAATGTTTCTGGGTTTTTATCAGCCCCATATTCGTAATAGTGGGCTTAGGCACCTTAGGCAAAGAGAGACCTCGTTCCCTCTGACTGGGCGGATCCAAAGTGTGTGTGTGTGTGTGTGTGTGTGTGTGCGTGCGTGCGTGCGTGCGTGCGTGCGTGCGTGCGCGTGCTGAAAGTTTAATCTCATGAAAACGGGTGTAGATGAACTGTGCTAAACACCAACCCCTAAACACCCACCCCTTCTCAAAAAGCTGTATCCGCCCCTGCGTGATAATAATAACACAGTGTTCACGCAAAGCGGCATAAAACCAAATACACCCACTCACAGTTCAAGTAAGACGAGACATTCCTTATTCAATGCAGGATCCGCGGCTTATTCCACATTCAGCCAAGTCGTGTTCCTTGGTCTGAGGTGGAAGTCGCCTCAAAGTCAGTGTTTTCCTCATGCTGTCTTGATAGCATCAAACAACGGTGAAGAAACGCAACGAATGCGTTGACCTCACGCTCCACCATATAACTGGAAATTGTTCGAAGCGCCGTTAGATTCAATCGATCAGAGGGTCGGATAAGTTAATTACAGACTAATGTCAACAGAATCGATAGGTCGAAGGCGTTTGACCTGTTAAGAGGATGGCGCTGTTATGGTTGTTAGAGTACTTCAAAGTACCCAGAGAGTTGGTTAATGTCATATATTCCACGGCGTGCCAGTCTCGTGTGGGGGCAAAGTCTGAATATGATGCCGATGTTAGAGGTTCACCGAGCGTCCCCCCTCCATCTCTATAAATGTTATCCTCCTCCTCCTCCTCATCATCATCATCAGTAGTAGTCATAATAGTAGTAGGAGGATGGGGTGCCAACAGCAGCATTAGTGAGGTGAGAAATTGGGTTTTACGTCGTGCTTGAGAATATTTCGCTCATATGACGACGTGCATGCGTGTGTGTGTGTATGTGCGGCTGCTTGTACTAGCCCAGACTTAAGCTGGTTTTATAGTGCTAGCTCACTGAGATACCATGCCACAGTGAAGCATGACTACCCCACTCAGACACATTATACTGACTCCGAGCCGACCAGTCCTTATTGTACCCATTAATGCCGAGCGCCAGGCAGGGACCAACAAGTACCATATTTTAACGTCTTTTGGTATGACGCGGTCGGGGATCAAATCCCGCGACCTTCCGCTCTCCGGGTGGACGCTCTAACCACTACACCACGGAGGCGGTCGCAGCAGTAGTAATAGTAGTAGTAGTAGTAGTAGTAGTAGTAGTAGTAGTAATGGCTGTTTTTACGTTAAAGCATCACTGAGCTGGTATGTTCTTGCCTTGCAGGACCGTAAAGACAAGGAACACGAGATGACAAGTCTCGACACAGAAAGTATAGAAAATGTGCTTGTAAAGTGAGGTATTTGAGATACCTGATACTCGGTGTCCTGGTTCACAAGGGACGCTGAGGCATGTCTGTATGTCTGCGACTGCGACAGAATTCACGTGGATTCATGATTTATGACCTGTGGAATAGCGTCAGCCTTACTCTATCGTCTTGTTCAAAGAAAGATACATGACGTACCTGTGTGAAAACAAATGCAACGTACCATCATGCAACAGGAATTCCTTTGATCAAAGTTTTGAAACAACCGAGCCATGTTGGAGCATTGCCACGGTGGAAGCATTGATACCTGTACAGTACGACGAATAGAAAACGATCCTAATACCAGTACACCACGGTGTATTGAATATACTGTTTTGATACCAGCATAAGACGATGCTGACAGTGCTATCTTGATACCAGCATAAAACGATGCTGACAGTGCTATCTTGATACCAGCATGTGACAATGCTGACAGTGCTATGTTGATACCAGCATATGACAATGCTGACAGTGATATCTTGATTTATATCAGCATAAGACGATGCTGACATTCTCTTCAAACCAGGGAAGATCTTTACACCAGTATACGACTTTGAAGACAGAGCTATCTTGATACCAGTATACCACGGTGAAGACAGAGCTATCTTGATACCAGTATACCACGGTGAAGACAGAGCTATCTTGATACCAGTATACCACGACGAAGACAATACTATCTTGATACCGGTATACCACGGTGAAGACAATGCTATTTTGATACCAGCATACCACGGTGAAGACAGTGCTATCTTGATACCAGCATACCACGGTGAAGACAGAGCTATCTTGATACCAGTATACCACGGTGAAGACAGAGCTATCTTGATACCAGCATACCACGGTGAAGACAGAGCTATCTTGATACCAGTATACCACGGTGAAGACAGAGCTATCTTGATACCATTATACGACGGTGAAGACAGAGCTATCTTGATACCAGTATACATACCACGGTGAAGACAGAGCTATCTTGATACCAGTATACCACGGTGAAGACAGAGCTATCTTGATACCAGTATAGCACGGTGAAGACAGGGCTATCTTGATACCAGTATACCACGGTGAAGACAGAGCTATCTTGATACCAGTATAGCACGGTGAAGACAGGGCTATCTTGATACCAGTATACCACGGTGAAGACAGAGCTATCTTGATACCAGTATACCACGGTGATGACAGAGCTATCTTGATACATGTATAGCACGGTGAAGACAGGGCTATCTTGATACCAGCATACCACGGTGAAGACAGAGCTATCTTGATACCAGTATACCACGGTGAAGACAGAGCTATCTTGATACCAGTATACCACGGTGAAGACAGAGCTATCTTGATACCACTATACCACGGTGAAGACAGAGCTATCTTGATACCAGTATACCACGGTGAAGACAGAGCTATCTTGATACCAGTATAGCACGGTGAAGACAGAGCTATCTTGATACCAGTATACCACGGTGAAGACAGAGCTATCTTGATACCAGTATACGACGGTGAAGACAGAGCTATCTTGATACATGTATAGCACGGTGAAGACAGCTATCTTGATACCAGTTTACGACGGTGAAGACAGAGCTATCTTGATACCAGTATAGCACGGTGAAGACAGAGCTATCTTGATACCAGCATACGACGGTGAAGACAGAGCTATCTTGATACCAGTATACGACGGTGAAGACAGAGCTATCTTGATACATGTATAGCACGGTGAAGACAGCTATCTTGATACCAGTATACGACGGTGAAGACAGAGCTATCTTGATGTCAGTATACCACGGTGAAGACAGAGCTATCTTGATACCAGCATACCACGGTGAAGACAGAGCTATCTTGATACCAGTATACCACGGTGAAGACAGGGCTATCTTGATACCACTATACGACGGTGAAGACAGAGCTATCTTGACACCAGTATACCACGGTGAAGACAGAGCTATCTTGATGTCTGTATACCACGGTGAAGACAGAGCTATCTTGATACCAGTATACGACGGTGAAGACAGAGCTATCTTGATACATGTATACCACGACGAAGACAATACTCTTTTAATACCGGTATACCACGACGAAGACAATACTCTATTGATACCGGTATACCACGACGAAGACAATTCTCTCTTTATATCAGCATAACACATGGAGACAGCACTATTGTGTTGCAACATTTTTTGCATGTCTTCACGATCCTCCACATATGACTTCCAAACCCACTGTTCCGGGTGATACCAGTGATATTGATGTCAACATACCTAAAACCACACTGAATATGTAATAACCCCAATGACAACGCTCTTTGATACATAGTATGATCCTTTATTGATGGAAACGTCAATCTGTTTCAGTATTCAACTATTTATGGGTTTTATAATATGCAGAGGTACAGATAAGCTGCGTATCTGCGTAAATTACGCAAATATTTATGTGAAAACTCTATTCCTATTATGTCTGTTGCGTACAGGTACGCTTGAATATTTGTAAATACTCAATAAATTTCATCTTACATGCATACACACAGAAATGTCAAGTCTTAGCTCGGGTGTTACTGAGGATGGATCAAATAACTGAGGTATATTGAGAGGTTCTATTTCAGCACATGAACGTGGCAACTTTCAGTCTTTCTTATGGTTTCTCAAATTACACATCAAATATAAATAACAAACATGTAAACCAACATTTAAACTTTTATTATATTTTTACAATTAATGGAAACTGACAGAATACCCAAATGAGTCAGTCAGGTGGGTACAATTTATTTGGTTATTCAAAGGAAAATTAGGATACCCAATTGAGATGAACACAAACGAGTACAACTCAATGACTCAAAAAGTTATCTGTAGCTCTGAATATGTTACAAGATTGTATAATTTGATATGCAGTATGCGGCATGCGAAATCGTGATTCATTGTAACTTTCGGCGTTAATACGCTATATTCTACACATCTATGACACTGCAGAAATGTGAAACCTAAAATGTCACTGTGAAAATACTCACACAACTATACAGTCCATGAATGCTTTACTGACAATGTAATTGTTGACAATGAAGCATATGTTTTAGATTATTATACACTTTTCAATTCTTTTTTAAATTATCATTTATGTGTGTATGATTGCCCTTAATATGTATGTACAGGTGGTGAGTATATGTGTGTTTATATGTTTTCTACTTGTTCTACATGTTGAAACTGTCCCAAAGTTCCGGTGACTTTTTGAACCAATTGGTTCCGTTCTTATAGATTTTAATACTGAACTGACGCACAAAAGAAAGTACACCCCCGCTGCTTCGGCATACTGGCAAACACGTACATAATGTCTGTGACTTGTAAGGCAATCTCAAAACTCTGTTTAAACAATTACGTTGGTTTTGGGGGAAAATAATCATTACCAAAACCTGTGGCTACTTTCTATTGTGCGTCAGGTATTTTGCAATCCTCCGTTGAGTGCGAAAGTGTCTTGAATTTGTCTACACAATGTGGGAGAAAATCCCAATTCCGGCATCGAAAACATGCGTCACACTGGCAACTAGACGGAGATTTTCCGTAATCCCTTGCCATACATTTTCATGGTTTATCTTTATATTGATTGTATTACGTGTGTGATAAAAAATGTATTTTGACTTTTATACATATAAAGAAATTCAGTTATCAGGCTTCGTTTATTCTATCTTATTCCTGAATAAACAAACTCCAGTAACTAATATCATGGTTGTATGTCCACGTAAGTTTCATATGTACTCATATACACATAAGTATCAATATTTATACACAATACGTAGAGGACTACATCCGGTGGTACTCAGTAAAATCTGCTTGTTCTCATCTATCTATCACTGGAATGACGTGCCTTATGATAAGGGGCTACGTGTTGATATTGAAGGAGATAAATGCCATCTTGTATGGATAATAGAATGGAAATTTGGCTTTGCTGGAGTTGTTAGGTTAAATGTCTTTAAAAAATATTGCAATAAGAGCCTATGTATTAAATACTCGACACCATGAAAACAGCAGCAACGTTACGCCGTTCCACCCGATCGAGTTGTAGACATCGACCAGGGGATGACGGAGACGCTGTTTTCTAGCAAACAGGGTAAGATCCAGCTGGAGTAATAGGGAATTTGATTTTAACGTAGCGGTATTAACGTAGAGTATTGCTGTAATGTTTTGCGTGCGTGCGCGCGCGTACGTGTGTTGGCAAACGGTTTGCAATTTGAGGATTGCTGGTGATTTCATGCGCACTTCTCTGTCCACCTGGGAAAAATATTCATTTTGGGGCATAACACGTGCTCTAAAAAATAGCCAAAGAAAAATATAACATTTCCAAGGCTTTACAAACATATTCCGCTGTCCACGCTTGATGTCATGAACAAAATCTGTTCGGACACTCCTTTTCGAGAGAGAAACTGTAACGAAGGGAATTATTTCCTATTATTATTAGGACACATCTAAACTTTGAAAACTACACTATTGCTTGACTTAATCTTACTCCTGTTGCACAAAGCGATAATGTGGCTTGTGAGCTTGTGACTACCGTAAGCCTAGCGCTAAGATTTCTTTATGCAAAGGGTCCAAGAGCTATGATAATAAATTCTTCAGTTTCTGTGTCAGTGTCAGACTAGTGGCAGACAAATGTACGTAAATATACAGTAAAAGATTGAGAACGGTACTCTGAAGACAAAGTTTGTGCAGGACATCGTATATTATTGTTAAGGGTTGTCACGTCTACTTCTTGCCCTACCCGTGAAGGCAAACGTCTTACACCTGCTTCACTTCGGGAATTGATTCTACATTAAGCTGACACACAGTTACATAACTTAAATATTGTTCAAAGCGTTGTGATACGTGAAGATCCGGGTTAGAATTGACCTTCAGTAACCCATGCTTGTCGTCAGAGGCGACTAACAGGATCGGGTGGTCAGGCTCGCTGACTCGGTGCACATGTCATCGGTTCCCAATTGCGCAGATCGATGCTCATGCTGTTGATCACTGGCTTGTCTGGTCCAGACTCGATTATTTACAGACCGCCGCCATATAGCTGGAATATTGCTGAGTGCGGCGTAAAACTAAACTCACTCACTCACTTCTTGCCCATTCATCAGCTGGATGATGACTCAGCTACATCTGACTTAATATACACTACTCATAAGACGAAAAGGACATCCGAACATCACATGACTAGAGTTGATATCCCATGGTTGGTGACTATAGCAATATATGGCCTCCCAATTGTGGGTGATCTTGCATTAATCCAGTTTTGGGTGATGTATGTATGTAGATCCGTCCGTCTGTGGGTGTACGTGCAATGTTAACACATAGTTGGGTTTATAACAATATACAGGGAGGCCAATCGGATCAACGAGAGAGAATCTATATACCTACTAAGTATCAAGAATAGATGAAAGCGGCCTCACAGCCAGCGGTTTGCTTATGTCTTCAATCAATATCCGACAATGAGTTTCAAGGTTACTGCATCTGTGTCAGTTGTGGTATTGTGGGGATTGTGCTGGCTGGCAGCAAACGATACCACAAACAGACTCTACGAACTCTTAATGGCAATAGCGGTTGGTATTCGAATCACCACTCGCGTCTTCCCGT